GCTGGTTCAGCCGTGCACAGAAGCACCTGCAGGAGAAGCACCTCGGCATCACGTTCAGCCTTCTTCCCCTCAAGTGTTCTTTCCTGCCCAGTACTTAGTAGGGGAAATGGAGCGATGGAGCTTTTTTCCACACCACTGTCAGGTGCTCTTGTGGTGGTACTCTGGGCATCATGATGACCTTTTCCATCATGGAAAGTGTATTTATGGGCTCAGAGACACCTGTGGAGTTCTGAAGATCCTCCAGGAGAACGTGATCTGGGATGCTCTGATCTACACAGAGCAAATGCAACAAAAGACTGAGGCACTTAGAGATAGGGTCAAAGTTCTCATGTGCCGGGTTGCACTCTGTGATTTTCTGAGCTAAGCTCCCCACTCCTCCATGTTTAAGGTGAACAGGCAAATGACAAACAAAAAATCCCCGGCTGCCAGCTGAAGCAGTTCCAGCCCCCTCCCACATTTTCTTCTCTATCCTGCCGAGGTGCCTGTGGCTCAGCTGTGCTGGTATAAAACTGCATGGTCCTGCTATGAACCAGAATCAGAAATACAACCAGTGAAATGATCTCCTTTCTCTTCAAAGTTAAGCCATATGAATTCTGCAGCTTTGTTCACAGGGAAAAAAACCACACAATGAAACCTAAACAAATAAACAAAACCAAAACAGTGGAGAAACACAGTGAAATCTTGTTCCATAGCAGTAGGAAATAAACAGTGGAAAAGAGATATGTAAAGCTGGTCATACATGGATCCTTGTGCAGGACAGAGAGCATAGTGTGAATTCACACCCCTTTAACACTAACACTGCCTCATTATTTTAAGTTATTCCTTCAACTTGTGGTTCTGATTTATCTGAAGTCAGCAAAGAAGTCCTTACTTTTTCCTAGTCATGTAAGATTTTACTCCAACGGGCAAATGAAACTGCTCAGGTAAAACGTTTCGCTCCATAGGATCTGTTGTGTCCTTCTAGAAGAACATTCTTACCACCTACTGCCCTTGAGCGTAGCCCTCTGATTCATGGTCCAGCTGAGTATCTTTGTCCTGCAGGCCTC